TCGACTACTTCACCTCCTATCCTTAGTTCATGTGTTGATGCAGGCCAGTCCTGAAGCAATAATATGCATTTAGAGGAGGAGAAACGCATCCTAAACGTTCTGCATTGTTGCTCAGTGCGACCAAAAGACTCTGTATTTTATCAGCGTCTTCACCAAACAGGACTATATCATTCGCGTATTCCAAGTCGATAAGTGCACCTTCTAGTAGGAGAACTCAGTCGACGAGAACGTTATTTCCATCAGTATGTCTACGATAAAGTTGAACAAAAATGGAGATAGTAGACAGCCTCGAAGGACACCACTTGAGGTTGCAAAATCAGATGACAGCTCGCCATAAGCTTTCACCTGATTAGTAGTGTTGGAGTAAAGATCCTTCACAAGGTTTATTTACTTCTGGTGTACTTACGTTCGCTAATATGGAGTGTGGCAGCTTACACCAGTGCATATCTCTGTGATTTAATGACTGTCACAAAACTACTTCTTATTCGAATTTCTTTTCATAAAACCAAAATACATAAAGAAAATTGTCTTCATTAATGAATATTCTGACAAAGTATAGACGATCCTGAATATGAGTTTTTAAATGAATTAAAGTAGTAGGGCAAACTGTTTATCTCATATGTTAAGGTTGTAAGAGTGATGATTACTGATTAAATCTTGATATGAATACAGGCTACCCAATCATTATTGATCAAATAATGTCACTTAAGTTGATTTTGTGTTATTCGAATACCTATCGTGTGGCGTAGCAGTATGAGAAAAATAAATATATGTGATAACTATGTTGCATTTATAGATATGCTACCAGTCCATGTGAAATTTGAAACGAAATGATAAATTTAAAAGTTGTTACGTATGTCGGATCCTTCTTAGTTCAGAGAGAATTCTAATGATTAAATCGAAATATAGCCACGGGTCGAGGTGATTTAATATCGTATTCATCATGTTGAAATGTAAGGTGGTGGTTGTAGGCAGCCGATACGAAACCCTGGACCTAGGGTTCGTGCTAGTTGGCACTCACCAGCACAGTGAACCTGTAATCTGGAGGGGACCGATGCTCCCTGGCGAGTTCGAACTCATGCCAACGAGCTTCACATCAATCTATATGAACCGCGATCGACCTCCTGTAGGACTGACCAACACCGATAGACTCAATCATTTCAAGTCAGTTTATGTAAGTACATATTCCAGGCGAAATTGATGAAAAACTATACACTGGTACATGTTTGCATTCAAATTGTAGGATCTTATTAAAGATGGGATATAACGAACAAAGCTTCACCTAGAGCCCTACTAAATTTACCGTCGGTCTCCAGCCCAGATACAGGAAGAGATTAGGGCATGGCGTCAGCTGGCCCATCCCGTAAAAATAGCTGATCAGAAAAAACAACTTAAAACGTTTAACTTGTCCTGAGAGATAAAGGGTCCTCGCTTACAATTATGATGCCTCATGGTGAGAGCCAAGATTCTTCGGAAGTCACGAGGCCGATGCCCCTTCTAACAGGCAGAGTAACAATTAAGTTAGGCAAATGGAATATTCGGGCAATGTGAGACCGAGAGGACCAGTCAAATAACTGTGAAAATAAGGATACAACCTGGAGATACTTGGAATAAGCGAAACCCATTGGACCCAAGATGGACGGAAAAGAATAGTCTAGGGAGAGTTGGTATTGCAGTCTGGTCATGAAGGAAATGCCTCCCACACACAAGGAGTTACACCGATGCTGTCCAAGGGAGTATGAAAATCATTTAAAGGAAGTGAATTTCAGGGACCCAGAATCATCAAAGCATTCTTCAAAACGAAGATGATCACAATGAATGCTATGCACCCACCGATGAAAGCGAAGACGATAAAGATCGGTTATATAAGGGGCTACAGCCTGTCGTGGAGAAATGATCAGGAAGGGACCTGACAAACCTGATGGAAGACCTAAACACCAAGGTCATGATGAATGGCATCGGGAATTGAGGTATTAAAGGGCAGCGTAGACTGAGAGAAGGGAAAAGTGGTGAGAGATTCTCAGATAAGTGCCTTCAACAAAATGGTTGTGGATGACGCCGTATACCCCCACAAACACATACACAAAGCTACATAGGATTCAACAGAGAACCAGACCAATCACTTTTACAATAATAAAAAATTCAAAAGATTCATGGAAGACGTGATAACAAAGAGAGGAGCTAACATAGGTTTGAGTCACAAAGTGGTTATGGCGAAGATGAAACTAAAGCTAAAATAACACTGGACAGTTTGGGAAACAGCAGTACAAAGGTTCAATATAGCCTTCATACGGGATACTGACAAACTCAATGAATTCAAGATAAATCTCAATAACAGGTTCCAAGTCTTACAGGATCTACTGATAGAAGAAACGACTATGGAGGGCATCTATAATGGAATCAAAGAAGCGCTAACTTCAGTGTGTCAGGAAGTGCTGTACAGCAACATACATCACCATAAGGAATGGATCTCAATGGCAACCCTGGACAAGATTCACGAAAGGAAGAACAAGAAGACAGCATTTAACAACAGTCGAACAAGGCACAAACTGAATACACAGAAGCAAGGAAGCAAATGAAGAGGAGTGTTAGAGCCGACAAGAAGAAATACGTGGAAGACCTTGCAATGAAAGTAGAAAAAGCAGAGAGAATTAAATATGAGAAAACTATGTGACAACGAAGAAACTTGCAGGAAAATATAATACACTCGGACGACCAGTCAAGAACAAAGAAGTTTAACCAGTCAACAAGACTCAAGAACAGTGGAACAGGTGGGTAGAGGACTTTGAATAATTCTTGAATAGACCAATCTCAGAGGACATCAAAGCAGCACATACAGACCGTATTATGGGTGTCACTCCACCAACAATCAGAAAAATAAGCATGGCCATCAGATAAATCAAGAGAAGAAAAGCAACACGATCAAACAACATAACAGCTGAAGCAATAAAGTCAGACAGAGAAGTAAATGCAAACATGCTCCACATTCTATTCAGAAGGAAAATTTCCGATGGACTGGAAAGATGGATACCTCATCAGAATATCAAAGAGAAAACTGAGTAATTATGGGAGCAAGACAGGTATAACACGACTATTAGTACCAGTAAAAGATTCTAACACTTGTTGAAACGAATAAAAAGTTAAGCAGATGCCCAACTTCGAGATCAACAGGCCGGACTCCGTAAAAACCGATCGTGTGCCGACACCGCAGGCCACTATACACCAACCTCCTTGACAATAAGAAAGCATTTGGTAGCGTGGATAAGATAACACTATGAAACTTTTTTTGATAGTACGGTGTACCTCAGAAACCGTCAACATCATATGAAATTCATGAAATGGACTAAACCGCAAAGTCATGCATGCAAAGCAGCTAGCAGAACTTTTCTAAGTGAGGAACGGTTTCAGATAATGCTGCTCACTCTCGCCTTTTCTTTCTCCTGGAGATTGACTGGGATGTGAAGACACATAAAGCATAGAATAAAATAGACAGTTTTGATGCAGCTAGGTGATATGGAAATCGCAGATGACCTAGCTCTTCTGTCCTATACACACGAACAAATGCAAGTGAAGCAGCATTAGGCTTCAACATACACAGGGGAGAAAGCAAGATCCTCAAATACAGTACAACAAGCACAAAACAAATCACACTTGATTGAAAAGCTCTGGAAGAGTTGGAGAGTTTTACGTAGCTGGGCGGCATCTTCGATGAACAAGGTTAATATAACACAGACGTAACCGCCAGGATTAACAAATCAAATCAAGGGCAACATTCGTACAGTTGAACATATGGAACTCAAAACAACTGTCAGTCAACATCAAAGTCAAAATCTTCAATACGAACGTCCAGACAGTTCTCTTGTACGGAGGTGAAACTTGGAAAACTACTACAACCATTACCAAAAAGGTACAATTATTTATAAATAGTTGTCTACGCAAGACACTCAATTGCGTTGACCGGAAACAATCAGCAACGGCCTACTGTGGGAGAGAACAAATCAGCTTCCATCTGAAGAAGAAATTAGTAAAAGTCACTGGCAATAGATAAGACATGTATTACGGAAATCACCAAACTGCATCACCAGGCAAGCGCTAACTTGGAATCCTTAAGGGAAACCGAAAAGAAGAAAGCCAAAGAGCACAGTGCGTCGAGAAACTGAAGTTGACATGAAAAGAATGAATAATAACTGGAAAGGATTGCCCAAAATAGAGTTGGTTAGAGAATCTTGATCGATGACCTATGATCAACAAGGAGTAACAGGCATAACGAAAAGTAAGTAACAACAAACAACTTGTCCAAGGGTGATGGAACAATTCAGTCTATCAGACTTCTTCAGTTCCTTAATCAGAGGTTCGTCACCATCTTTCAGAAATAAAGGACCTAGCTCGTATAGGTCGAATAACTTTAGAACTTTCGCTTCTCCATGTAGGAAGTCATTTTCAAAAAGAGTGAAACAGTCTGCTTGAAGACGCTAGCTGACAAAGCATCTTGATGCTCCTTCGGAGAGCTTTACCTAGCGTTCAGGACGTCTTTAAATATTCAATTTTTAGGATAAATAAAGTATACGGAAATATAATCCTGTCAAAATAATTGATTTTCAGTAATATCAAAAAGTGAAACAATTTTATGTCCAGTCGAATATATTTCCTATACAGTTTACACAGGCAGTTCAAATACCATACAGTAGAGATATAATATCCGTTAAAAACCACACACTACTGTATGAGCTAATTGAATCAACTAGTTGTTCGATAGTTCTACCTTCTGAAATCAATTCAGTTCAGATGTTATTGCCACTAGTAAGTAGTCGAAATAATCTCCTCAATCATTATTTCAGTAATCTATTAACTTGGAATCTTCAACGATCAACTGACTATTAATAGACAATCTGATTGAAGATAATTAATCGTATTGATTTGACTTAATTGGAAGCAGATCTCTCATGGAATATGGATACAAATACACCGATATGTGTTGTACTCGGAAAAACTTAGAAAATTTAAGGATAAAATATTTATTTAAAACATTTGACAGTCGATATTATTAGATAAAGAAAATAAATGATAATAGTAGTATCTTGTCCATGCAAAATAAAACCCAATATAATCGGTTAATGTTATCATGACAACTAATGAAAAGTGACAAATAAATTGGAACCAACAAAACCAATTAAATAGATTAACAATAAACAAACCAATACTTAAAAGACATGAATCATATTTTTTGGATAATCTAATTTAGTAAGTGATGGAAGACAAGCAAATTCAATAAATGGTGGTGGACCACAAATTAATGTGATTGTATCATTATCTTTCACTGGATAAATATGCTCTTGTAACATTTGTTCATTCACATAACCAGTACTGTATGACCAACCTATAATGAACAATCAAAGATACACAACAAGAGCACAGAGTTTAATGGATATTTTTAGATTTCAAGGAAAAAATCAAATAATCTGATCCTAAAGGGAAGATGCAAGTGTCTGCAAGTTTGCGTGAATCGAAAACTTTATCAGTAATAAATAAATAACATAGTTGTCATATCCCAATGAGTAGAAAAATTAGATTTCCTGACGTTTCGTGACTTAGTGTAAGCCACTTCTTCAGAGGATAAACAGCCCAATTAAAATTAATCCAAGTTTAAATAGTACAACGGAACAATAAGAATAATATGTGATCAATCAAAAACAGGCCCGGACAAGTTAATGCCATGTCATTTCGGTCAAGGTGATTCATAAGTGATATGTATGTAAATTTGTGTGTATGTATGTGTGTACTGTTTGAGGATGAAAAATCGTGACCTTTGTGATGAGAAAGGATAGAGTTTAATTTGGGAGATGATAGTGTGAATTGTAAATACGATCAGACTGAATGGCTAGGATAGATAGTCCAAGTAGGACGTATGGTATTGCGGTGAACGTTGTATGATGTTACTTATTAGAAGATAGCTGATAGAGACCCTGTATCTACATTTAGTGCCTACTCATACTTATCAGAAATGTGTGTCCGTAATTCAATGGGATTCATCATGTGTCATCATATGACACCAAAAAATATGACTATTCTTTTGCATACAAATAAGTAGCTGTTTCACAATTGATTGATCACTGTGTGGTGATCAATATCATGTGTGCCAAGTCCTTCTTAGTGCAGATCGAATGCTGTCGATCAAGTTGAAATGTGGCTACCAGTCTAGTTGACTCGACACTGTGTACACTATGTTGAGATTAGATCGTGGCTGGAGGTAGTCGTCAGGAAACCCTGGACCCGGGTTTTATGCTACTTGATCCCGTGTCACCCAGCTTCATAGTCCGAGACGTTACCACTGAATCCGTCAGGGAGCACTAGTTCCCTCAAGATTACAGGTACACCTTGCTGACGGGTTTCAAGTAGCACGAAACCCGAGTTCAGGGTTTCCTGTCGACTACCTCCAACCACCATCTAAGTAGCTTTTGAAAAATAACAACTATTATCTGTTTACTATGTAATATTTCATTCGAAGCATAACTGATGTACTCTTAGAGACTTTCACTGTGTAATTATATCCATTCATTATCTGTATTCGTTGAAATTGAAGGAAAATTTGGTCTGAGTTACAATTTCAACCGAACTTATAATAATTACACTATACAGTCAATTCATATCAATTTTCCCCAGTATTATTGATTGTTTTCCATATATTACCTAATAATATGTCTTTAACAATAACAAATAAATGATAAATGTGAATGAAGGAATAAATGAATAAACGTATAATACTTACGTTCTGGTGCTTCACTCAATGTATACCAAAGACGAAAATGATTTGGATATTTATCTTTGAAATTTTCTAGTTCATCACGTAGTATAATATCTTTTTCAGTCTGAAATATTAATTTAATTAAAGAAACTATCATTTTAGACAATCATATAAAGTGAATTTGTTTGTTGTTTGTATGAAAATAGATCTGCAAAGACAACTGGTATAATAAATAATAATAATGTAGATATAAACAGTACACATCTTAGGTTATATAAAATGATGAACAAAAATTTCAGCAACCTATAACATACGAACACATTTTAATCAGTGTAGGGATTTGTGAAGATTGTAGTATTTTTATAGTTGAACTCATGAGTCGATCTATGCTAAACCACCATTGAAAACTTGGAGGAACTAGATGGCTGTTTCATCCTAGTGTGACTCCTCGAATGAAGCTAGACATCAACACTGTTGAATGCCAGAGGTTAAGTGTTAGCCTGTGAGTCCTGGGTTCGAATCCCGTGTGCGAGATCGTGGGTACGCACGCTGAGGAGTCCTATACTAGAACGGAACGGCCGTTCAGTGCTTGCAGGTTTTCGATGGTGTTTATTTATTTATTTATTTGGACTCATAAACATTGGTACAAAGGAGTACAAAATATGCGACAGACAAGTCACTTGATTAGTTTGTAAGTTGTGATACTGCCCGGGAGCCCAAACCGAAGCAGGTAGTTAGTTTTCTAGTGGGACCACACCCGAAGCCTTCGACATAAAGGGCTGATCCACAATGTAGTGGAGCAACGTGAAGAGATGCAGTCCCATGGTAGCCGGTGACCAACAATTGGTTCATATGCCATTTGTTCCCTCATGATACTGGAGCCCATGTACACCATTGGTTTGGAATCAGGGTTTTCCAACTCCCCTAGATAGATCCTCCTCTACAACCTACCCACCTAAAACGCCAGATAATCGCTTTTCGTCCTCTCAATTTGACAAATACCGCACCCGCGAGAAGACAGTGAGTAAGAGTTCCCTGTCAGTGGTTGTATACGCATGGCCATTTTAGAGCATTTCCCTACCCTCAGCTGTACCACGGCATTTGGGACAGCTTATACCACCTCGTGAATTCAACTGTTAAAATAAATTTTTGTTAGCGACTTGTGATGGGATCCAGAATGTATGCTTTATTTAATTTATGGCTTACCAACTGAATGTACATGCAGTTTTGTGTTGATGTTTGGACTGTGTGAAATAAATGCACATCCACTTTGGTTCAAACGAAAAACGACTTTTTTTATCAAGCAACTAATATGCCACAACCATTGTATTTCACATTATTGTCTTATGTTTGTACTTCTAAGTTATCTATTGAAAGAATCGGTTTATATATTCTAAAAGATAAGTGAATTGTTAAGTATATATATATTACTAAAATGAAGTAACCTAAAATGAGGATAAATTTTATTTCTTCAAAAAGAAAAATCAAGTTATATGATCTAGGAAATACTGAACAGATGTTTCGCCTTAAAAAAGAAACACATCAATGCTGTGTACTTTGGACCTTTTAAAAAATCATAAAACAGATTACTAAAGTCGTGCTCACTATTTACTTGCTTTTTTAACCGATATCAATGGATGACAGTATACTAATCTGTTGTGGATGCGAAGGATAGACCAATAATTATCATGTTAAGTCCAATGGTGTCCTTGGACTTTAAATGGACATTTCCTACTGGTCGATATCTGTCCACTTGTTGAATATGGTACAAAATATTGTTTTCTATTTTTATGGTACGATGTGGTATGTTTGGTTAGTATATAAATAGAGTATGTCTGAAATACAATGATTCACAACTCAAAGGCTGTGATTTGTGTTCTGGACTCAACTGGCTGGGATAGACAGGGAATCGGGACCAATCGTAACTCTAGGTCGTCCATTACGTTCGTACGTGTTTACGTGTCATCGAGTCGATCGATAAATACGCTGTTCTCTAGTTTTTTTTCAGTCAAGGACACAACAATTAGCTCAGGGTAAAAAGCAACCACAACTTAAAGTCACAACATAATCAATTTCAGTCAGTCAAATGTAATGCAAAATCTGTCACATTAATACATTAATTTGAGTTTCCATAGCACATTGACACGGTAAAATAATAATTATCGAGGCAAATGATAGAATAGTAGAAGCAGTTGGTGTCAGTTGTTATGGGCAACATTAGACATAAACAATATGATTCTGAACAAGGAATAAAATGGTAGAATAAAATAAATGAAATAATTTAATAACTCAAGATTTAAGTAGGACAGAAAGTGAAGGCATCTGTTCAATTGCCACCGATTCTGAGCCATATCACTTAACACCTGAGACTACTGTTTACGATAGCCGTGTGAACGTCGACCAGGTAATCTACAATCTATTTAGATGACCCAATGAGATAATCAATAGCCTCATCGGCTGATGTATGTTCTTGACTAACAGCTGCTAATTTTCTTCCAACTGGCTCTCAACTATTTAATATATGAAGTGGAGATAGGTGGTGGCTGGGCATACATAACATGACTCAGCGACCACTCTTGAGAAAGATTTACTCCCTCATCACCGATTTCTCAGACTAAAAAGACGTTTGTTAAACTATGAAATCACGTAAATAATTTTGACAAATATATTTTAAGGTGGTTATCAGTCAGCTAGTCATCAACAAAAGATCAGACATAAATATTTATTGTCCCAAGTTCCCATGCCTTATATCGATAAAACCAGAAAAGAAAGAAATATGGGAAAAAATAACTTGAAATTTGAACTGAGATAGAAATATAGTCAAGAGGAATATGTTTCAAAAGGAAAAAAATCGAAGTGGCCAAATAAGAATGTAGGGGTAACACTTACTGTGACTATCTCTACTTTTCTGGGATTTGACCTGACTTCATTTCTCTATGCTAATACGGTACAACTTGAACCGATGTACATACTTACAGGTTCTACGTTGTGGTTGACTGACTGACTGAGTAACATTTAACTCAAGATTTCGAGGAACATAAAGAATGAATAAAACGTATCCACTGAGAAAGATTTTGAATGATTTCACTCAACGACTGATTACGTATATTCTGTAGACCTTCAACTAGGATTCCTGAACCTATGAACATGAGCCCCCAAATGCCCTGGTATGGCCGAGAGCGGGGTGGGTTCGCCCTCCCTCTCGAAATACTCTCACACGGCCACGCGTATACAGCCTCTGCCAGGGAAGTCCTACTCACTGCCTTCTCGTGGCGGGGGTGTTGTTTACGAAAATGAGAGGACGAAAAGCGAATGTCCGGTGCTTCAACCGGATTCCAAATCAATGGTGCACATGGGCTCCAGTATCCTGCAGGAACAAATGGCGTATGAACCAATTTTAGGTCACCGGCTACCATGGGACTGCATCTCTTTACGATGCTCCACTGCCTTGTGGATCAGACCTTCAGGTCGAAGGCTCCGGGTGTGGTCCCCTAAGAAAATCACCTGTTTCGGTTTGGGTACCCGGGCAGTATCACAGCCCACACACAATTAATGAACTGAACTGTCTATGATCATGGAAACTAATTCTCTTGCTTTGAAAGACATTCAAATGATTAAATTATTATTATTTACTACATCATTATTCACCCTCTTTTATTCATACTCTGTCTATACTTATTTTTTTCGACTTATACAGTAGCTCGTCTATGGAGGAAATTCGACTCTATCTAAACGTTCTCGAGTCACTGTCCGGTTGAAAATTGTATGTTACCACCGACTACGAGTACTGAAGCAGTTTTTCTGAAACCACGTGCACCATTCAAACTGGCTGCTTTCAACGTTCGCACATTTATGCAGGTCGGACAACAGATAGGGCTGGCTATGTCTTTGGAAAGTCTTAATATTGATGTTTGTTGTCTATCCGAGACCCGTATTCAAGACTCTGGCGAAGTACTACCAATTCGATCTCCATCTGTCGCTTCAAAAAGCTTGTTTTACGTGCGCTTATCCGGGGACCCTGTGGCATCTTCGTCTGGTCTTGCTGGCGTTGGTGTAGCACTAAGCGCTAGAGCTGAGGCAGCACTAATCGATTGGATCCCCATTAACAGTCGGTTATGTGCTGTTAGATTAGTGAGTTCCATCAAAGTGAGAAGGAATCGGCGTGAGAAACGATGTCTTTTCGTCATCTCCGCCTATGCCCCGACAGATTGCAGCCCGGATGCAATCAAGGATGAGTTTTACCACCAGTTATCTGTCCTTCTCCAGAAAGTGCGTTCGATAGATATTGTAGTACTAGCCGGAGTCTTGAACGCTGAGGTCGGGCGTCTAGGCACAAAAGAGAGTCGTTTAGGTGGCCGATGAGGACCTTTTGGTCGCAGGACAGATAACGAGGACCGTCTACTGCAACTATGCACAGACCACAACCTGTTTCTGGCTAGCACTAACTTTCGGCACAGTCATCGCCGATGTGCCACCTGGTGTCCTCACTCTACATCTCAAGCCTGGACTCAGATTGATCACATCGCGATCAGCTACTGCTGGCGTGGTTGTGTACAAGACTGCCGCTCCTTTTGGAGTACCTATCTGGACTCTGATCATGCCTTGGTGTGCGCCAATCTTGCCTTACTTTACAGTGGCCAACGAAATGACCGCCACCAACGGATTGATGTTAGCAAGTTGGTTGCAACTTCTGTTGCAAGTAAGTATCAAACCGAGCTAGCTTATAGGCTAGCTACCATTCCACCGAAAAGTATATATGAGCATTGGTTGCAATTGCATGACGCCATGAAAATGGCGAGTACAGTCAGTTGTGGGTTTGCCAAACGTCCCGCTTGTAAGCACTGGGTTTCTTCCGGCTCCTTACAACTCATTGAAGCCCGTCGGTCTACTCCGGGTGACCGTGAGTTTGACCATAAACGAAGGATGTTACGTAGGGAAATTGGGCAAAGCTTGCGTAAGGACCGAGAAGCCTGGTGGTCGGAGCGTGCTAAAGAGCTGGAAGCAGCAGCTGCATCTGGTAATTGCCGGAAGGTCTTCCAACTCATACGAGCCACTGGCAGCAAGAAGTCTGGTGTGAACGAAACAATTTATGAGGAAGACGAAATGCCAATCACTAACATCCATCGACGTCTTGGGCGGTGGGCAGAATTTTTTGAAGGGCAGTTCAACTGGCCTGCTGCTCCGGCAGCATCGGTCAGACTGTCCTGCCCCCCCCATGGCAGGTGATGACTGATCCATCAAATGAGGAGGAAGTCCGCAAGGAACTCCAACTCTTGAAGCGCCACAAATCACTTGGCCCAGATGACTTACCTCCGGCTCTTTTTAAAGATGGTGATGATTTTCTGACTAAGGAACTGACGACGTTGTTTACAAAGGTTTGGGAACTAGAGAGTGTACCAACGTCATGGAATGAGTCGATAGTTGTCCCTATCTTTATAAAGGGTTCACGTTGTTCCTGTAACAACTATCGGGGGATAAGTCTACTTCCGATTGCGTCCAAGCTATTGGCTTCCGTCATACTTCGTAGGTTGTTCAAAACCCGAGAAAGATTGACTCGCGAGGAGCAGGCTGGGTTTCGTTCTGGTCAAGGATGTATTGATCATATCTTCACCCTCCGCCAAATGTTAGAACACCACTATACTTTTCAAAGGCCAACAATCGTAGTGTTTCTTGACATCAGAGCTGCCTTCGATTCGTTGGATAGGACTGTTCTCTGGGATCGCCTATTGAAGAAGGGTGTGCCTGAGAAGTTTATTAACATCCTAGAAGCCCTATATACATGCACCTCCGGCAGAGTGAGGACATACAATCGCCTTTCTCCATTGTTCTATTCGATCAGTGGGGTAAGACAGGGTTTCCCAATCTCACCATTCCTCTTCAACTTTGCCATCGACGACATTCTGGAAACAGCTCTGATGAATGTAAGTAATGGCGGTGTGGATCTGTTGCCCGGAGAGACTTCTCGACCTTGAGTACGCGGACGATATTGTCTTACTGTGCGATAATCCCCAAGACATGCAATTCGCGCTTAATCAGTTGGCAATCAGTGTCCGTAGGTATGGTATGTGCTTTGCACCTTCGAAGTGCAAAGTACTTCTACAAGACTGGCAGGATTCCAATCCTGTACTCACCCTGGATGGTGAGCAGATAGACGTAGTCGAGAAGTTCGTGTATCTGGGTAGCTGCATAAGTGCTGGTGGGGGTGTGAGTGATGAGATCAATGCACGTATAGTGAAAGAAAGAGCGGCTTATGCCAATCTGGGCCATCTTTGGCGCCTTCGTGATGTTAGCCTGGCCGTAGAATGTCGGATTTACAACGCGTTGGTGAGAGCAGTTTTGCTCTATGCTTGTGAAACCTGGTCTGTCCGAGTTGAGGATGTTAGACGACTCTCTGTGTTCGATCATCGTTGTCTCCGAAGGATTGCTGATATCCAGTGGCAACACCATGTTAGTGATGCAGAGGTTCGGCATCATGTGTTCGGGCACAGAGGCGATAATGCAATTGGTGTCACCATCTTGAAACACCGACTTCGGTGGCTTGGACATGTTCTAAGAATGTCGTCCCAGAGAATTCCACGTCGTGCATTATTTGCCGACTCTGGGACTGGTTGGAGAAGGCGAAGAGGTCGTCAATATATGACATGGTGTCATGGTATGAAAGAAAGCTGCAAAGGACTGGCTTGTGTCGGTCCTTCACGACTCCCTGGTTGGGGTCCGAGAGATGGTGCTACACAGTGGCTAGAGACATCAGATATGGCTCAGAATAGAAGCCAGTGGCGATCCTGATGTAATCTTTTACTTTCTTCATAAAAGTGGTTGTTTCTTCCTTAACTGGAAGATTTGTTCTGATTGTACCTTTCCGTTCCCCCATTACGACTATGATTATTACTACATTCCCTTACACCAATCTCTTCATTATTGTTTTTTTTACGTTCCTCATTGCTTTTTCTTCTTAAATTCTCATTGTTTTGTATGGCGCATATATATTTGGCGCACTTCTGTACCAATATGTATTCAAATAAATAATAAATATAGTCAAACCAGCAGTTATTTACTTTGTGAACTAATCCTATCTTGATCTTCATGTCTTTACGTCCTTCCTTTCTAACTTACAAGTGAACGAGGGTTGGATGTTGCGGTGGGTGGTGACTAAGCATACGCACCGTAAAGGTTCATACTCAGACCAGACAACTAGTCGTTCATACTTATCACAGTACTCATAAACCTCAAAATTAAGTGTTCGGTAGTTTTATTATAAGCGAGGGATGCTTTGAAGATGCTTACGATCAAACACTTGCAGTCTATATACATCGCTTGCTTTCATAGACCATGCTTTAAGGTCATAGTGATACATGACAAATTCCTGAACAGTATTTTCACCTTTTCTTTGACAGGCAAGGATCTCGTCTGGGTTACAAGAAGCTATTGTCAAAAATGCAAATGATAAAAGCGAAAGTGTACAACTAATGCAAAATTCCCCACATATTTAAATCCACGTACCACATTGGCAAAGACCATTGCTATTTGTGTTGTATCATCTTTAGACTGAAGTATGTAAGATAATAGCTGGAACATTGGTGTTATACCAGACCCACCACAAATCATATTGACATGTTTCACTTTTACAGGATTAGGTGAACTACGTAGATCCGGCTTTATATGGAACAAACCTAAATGTAAGAAAAACAAATGCAAAACATTGGTAATCTTTTTTCACAAGGCCGGAAGCTTTTATAAATAAAATTTAATCGATTCTTGATTTTCATAGAAACTACTCAATATGTTTCATACACTCAATATGTGGTTATTAAGGTCATAAAAGGCATGGAATCAGAAGGGTACAAGGGTTTTCTGTCAACTAACTCCAACCATCTAGCATCCCAACGTAGTGCGAATGATATCGAGTCACCTGAACGAGTAGCCGCACTAATTTGGTTGATAGAATCCTTACTTACTTACTTACGCCTGTTACTCCTCGTGAAGGAGCATAGGCCGCTCACCAGCATTCTCCATCCAGTCAGCACTAAAAGGACAAGGCACGCATGACACGAGTAACTACTTAGTGATCAATCAATTTTAAATACCTCAGGCCTGCAGAAGTCAGTTATTGCTCGAATGGCCTGGCAGTAACATCTCTTAGTGCAAAGCTTAGTGACACGGGTTTATACCCACTAAGCAGCATCAGTCTCTTCAAAACTACAGGAAAGAATTGCAGAACTGTTAAATGGTACGAAAATTAGTCCCAGGGTTTTCTGTCGACTTCCTCCAACTACCTGACATTGTGCCTATTCGCTTATTTCTTCGAAATAACCACATATATAAATGCCCAGATACAGTGAATGAGACTTTTATTTAGCTGTTGCCAAAGTATACACTAAGCAAACGAGTTAACATAAGGATTCACCATTCGCATTCCTTTTAGAATATATGAATTCATAAACAGTATCAAAGATATTATATTTAGCATGAAGAGAACCGAAAGCGGAATTGTAATAAATAACTAGTTACCAGTCACCAAGAATTGGAATCCTAACATATATTGAACGTTTACAAGTGATTATAAAAACACAAGCTTAAAGCGTCATCGATCCTGGGCCATATTACCTGAGTTATCCAACCACTGATTTATACTAACCCCAATACTACACAGGGAGTCCACCTAGGGGAGTTGGAAAACTCTGATTCCAGACAATGGTGTACATGGGCTCCAGTAACCTGAAGGAACAAATGGCGTATGAACTAACCGTTGGTAACCGACTACCGTGGGAGTGCATCACACGTCGCTCCACTGCCTCGTCGATTAGACCTTAATGTCAAAGGCTCGGAGTGTGACCCCCTAAGAAAACCCTCTGCATCTGTTTGGGCACCCCGCCAGTATCCTAGACTTCACATGAATCGAATGACTCATGCGGCGCATATCTGTTTGGTGCTTTTTTGTATTAATATTTATGTTTAAATAAATAAATAAATCTTAGTTACTTTGGCTACCCAACGCCGAGGTCGACGAGTACGACTCGTCCCCATTTTGTAAGCATCTTTAGAGATTCAGAATGCTGAGTCATTGTTCCAAGGTACCAGGAATTATTATCTTAAGTAATACTACAAATACATGGTCTTGAGATTAATTTTCTTCCTAACGTATTTCTGGGATTATGATTTATCTCTTGATTATCAAATAGGGATTTATAAGGGCTCTTCTTATTTAATTTCTTGGGGTTTTAGGCTCAATGACAATTTTAAAGGTGGCTTCGTGACTAAGCTCTACAAGTGAATAGTAGTGACATGCACAGACTGTATGATTTATTGAATGGTTCTGAACCTCTAAGAAAAGTTTCCTTTTGATGTTCAGGACGTCTAACTAGTGATTCTCAGGAATTATGTAAAATTGCGTCGAAGAATTTCCACTTCTAAACCAATGCAAATGAATATTGTCTCATCCTGGTCAGAGCATGTTTTTTTATATCTAAGGAAAGAGGCTTACCAATGAAATACGGTCGGTTTTTATTTAGTCAGGTGATTTGTAAATATTTTTTAGTCGAAAGACAGTTTTTATCAGTCGGTATGCGCTGAACTCTTTTCTACATTTTTAAGTAGTGTATTATAATAGGTTCATTGACAGCGTAAAATTGTTGACAGATTTCAGCTAGAAGAAATTTTAGCCCAATAATAATATAAATTAGGTGACCCAAAACGACTTCAGCAATAATGGAAAGGAGCTAAAAAAGCCACAAGAACATACCACACCCTTTGTATTCCAGTTTTCCAGATGGACCACGAACATCAATAAATCCGTCGATAGGGAGATTAGCCAAATATTGAGACATAACTCCACCTTTGGGAAATTTAGGATTAACGCTTCCTTTATACACCTAAACAGCAATAATAACGTTGAGTTATACGAATAATAATCGGCACTTTAAAAATGACGAGGTCAATCAAGTGGTTGGTACACTGATAGTTCTAAATAAGACAGTAACTAGAGAACTACTGGGCGATTAATCGATGTATGCCGTACTCGACAGCATTGTGAAGTGGTCCTGTCCATAAAATGTTGAACATACTTATAAGTAGTCGTACTCTAAACTTATGAGTTCTGCACCCTATGAATCGAAGACGTGGATTCTTAAACTGATGGACAACCTACTATTAAGTTCAACAGCTTCAGTCGCTTTAACGATATACTTATGCTATGCTTTGCAATTCTTCTTCCTACTTTAGAGAAATTTCCTCAATATAACAGTGGATTTTACACTTTACCGTACATTGTAGAACCATATTTTAATATCAAGACATGAAAACAAAGTCAACTGGCCTACATCAGATCACCATAGAGATACTAGATAATGGGTGACATGTAATACGAGGCTACTGACACGTAAATAAAAAGGTGAAACAGGAATGTTAGTTGCTGCTGCCACACTTTATATCAGAACAACATGAAGAAATCGACGGAATATGGAGCAGATTATATTAGATAATAGCTACTTCAGCTGAAAGCTGGGTAGGAAAACATAATTCCAGAAACTAATGAGATTGGTGAGTGGTAATAACTGGGTGGTATTATTATCTTGTACAATCCATGACTATATACTGGTAATAAAGAGAGGTATTTGTGGAGATAATGAAATTTAGCTCGACTACCTTATCAGATTAAAGAGCGGTCTCTTCCTAAAACCAAAATCTTCTGTACTATGACTGCCCCCAGAATCGGTCTGTAGAAACTAGATGACCGTCGCTTAGATATGATGCAAAACAAACAAATTTACGTACACTGGAAATAGCAGAAGTAAGGTGACTGACCTACAATATGAAGACTTACTTTTATGACAAAGTCAACATATCCTTTTTGGGTGTCTAGTGTGATCGGAGTGTAGGGTCGAACCACCATGTTTCCATCAATTTTTGCACTGAAGTATACATGATTACCTAGAAGGAACGGTAACTAATTGGTTAAGAAACTTTACCAACAGGTAATCCAAGTACATGGTCAGCTGTGGGGAGACCTAGTTTTAGGCGAATTGTATCATGAGTGATGAACTAATTTATGACGCTTAGAAAAGGAAACCCTACACTTCTATCCACTACTCGTAAAGGAGTTTTCGTATCATTATCCACAAGAGTTTTTTTCGGCTTCTTAGGCCTGAATATTAGTCCCAATACGACACCTGAAATGGCAACAACTGCCGATACTGAAGCAACAACAGCAATCTAAAAAAGAAATGCATCATAATAAACAGATGCTAACAACAGCCGTCGTGTTCTGTGTCATATTCCAACCTCGACAAACGAATAACCGGGTTTGACTGACATATGACCATGATGTCATAAAATTCCCTTTGTTGTACTAAAACTAAAAGAATGTCAAAAACTGAGACTGTAGTTTTTGTTCAGTATCAATATGATTGAACCGGATGTTATCTTTTCCTAATAGAATGTACCGATCATCATTCATATATATCTTCCCATACCTTCGATTTCGACTTCTCGCTGTTAATTTGGGATTCTTGTATAAGAAGAATTTTCGTACAGAAGCGTTTACAAACACTGCGTAACCGTACCATCTTTACTTGCCCTGAACTTAAAGGTATATTAAAACCTACCTAAGCCATGTTTAAAACCCCGTAAGTTAAACATCTGCTCATTATAAATTGCAAAAGATGTCAAGAAACTTCTAACACATAGGCGACATTTGAACATGCTCAGGTCTACAGGTAGTAAAGTATTCAAATCCATTTACTGTAGGCCTACGACAGGATGAAATGCTTATAAGTAATTACATACATTTATGCTAAAAATGAATGATTGTATATCCCAAATAAACCATAAAATGTCATCCCCCTTTATAAAGAGACGAAAGTAGATGTGTGATGAAATCACTCCACTTCTGCTCTATAAAGTTTACTAACGTTTGTAAGCAATCACTCTTACAGTGCTGAGGGCTTCTGAAAACATCTTCAGATAACGACGCTAGGAGGGTGGCCGCTAACACTGACAATGGCGATATGTCCTTTCTTCTTTAAGAACAGAGGTGTATCAGGAAGGAGACGTCGAGTGGATTTGGCTGGAGCAGCGGTGTTGACTGTGCCAGTTGCTGTCGAGAGAGAGAGAGAGTAGACCTGGGACGTCCAGGAGCTGGACGGACAGTGGATTTGGATACTCCAGCAGACTGACACTGCTACGGAGGTCAGAGCGCTGGCGGAATCGACATTTCGAGGCGATGTTTGGCACAGACTGCGACAAAGAAAGACGTGGCGTGACGAGTAGGACGACGGCGAAAGTGACTGTCGTTCAAAGGAGGGACAAGAGTGGTGTATGCTACTTGTACTGACAGCTATACGTAGTATGTAGCCACAAACGGGAGTGGGAATAATGGCGTGAGTGATAACACAAACGTGAAATGAATGTATTTTTGATGTATGATTTCCATATTTTACTAAGCCACTACGTAATTTCGTATCCGAAATGAGGTCGGTTCACCCTGTATGAGTTTACCGTAGGTGAGTTACGTTGAAATATGGAGACCAATAAGTGATGTGTCCGATAAGACTACAGGAATGCACAAGTGAACCAGCGGTTATTAAGAAGAGAATTTCAGAAAGATTGTAGCAGTGGAAATCAGTCACACAAATATGCCCATAGTTACACATTAAATGGATTGGTGTTATACAAGGTTGATTATTGTGAAGACTCTGTAGTCATAATAAATAATCACTGTAGAACTCAGAGTAATGGTAATACGGCTGTGCCAAAAGTTTACAACCCTTAATAACTGCTAATACGTCATAAGGAGGAACTCAAAACAACTTTCAACCAATATCAAAGTGAGGATCTTCAATATCAACGTCAAGGCAGTCCTACTGTATGGAGCTGAAACTTGGAGAACTACAACAACCGCTATCAAGAAAGTACAAGTATTTATAAATAGCTGTCTACGCAAGATACTGAACATCCATTGGCCAGACACCATCAGCAATAGCATTCTGTGGGAGTGAACAAACCAACTTCCAGCTGAAGAAGAAATTAGGAAAAGACAATGGAAATGGATAGGACATATATTACGCAAATCATCAAACTGCATCACGAGGCAAGCCCTAACTTGGAATCCTGAAGGGAAGCGAAAAAGAGGAAGGTCAAAGAACACATTGCATCGGATAATAGAAGCAGATATGAAAACGATGAATTACAACTGGACGGAGCTAGAAAGGATTGCCCAGGACAGGGTTGGATGGAGAATGCTGGTGAGCGGCCTATGCTCCTTCATAAGGAGTAACAGGCGTAAGTAAGTAAGTAAGTAAGGTCATAAGGAATTGTCTAGGATAGTACAACTAGTTTGTTTGGCTCAAACCTCAGAATATGAGATTCAAACATCGAATTCTTGCTTCAAATATAAAAATGCTATACCTGGAGGGCCTTGAAGACGAGAGGTCAAAATAACTTGGGGTCTTCCTGGCTTACCGTATGTAGTTAGACTGAGGTCCATGAACCTATTTTCACCATCTTGTGGCTAGTAATGAGTTGCCCTAATACTGACTTAACGCTTACTGAAAGACGATTATGGTATCGATATGTCTCATCTTTCGCTTTTGTCTGAAATTTATTAGGAAGACATTCACAAAACGTTCGAAAGCATAGATTAACCATCTGCAACCGGAGTCTCATATTTTGTATCTTTAGAATTCTTTGCAGAAACATACGTCATCGCATCCTGCCGGTTAGTTCAATAACTTCAGGTTTTCACAGTGCCCCAAATCACTAGGAGTAACACAGATCACCCGATCTCCTATCCTTATATTTTATTATTGAAGACAGATCGTTCTAGATCCTAAAACGAACAAAATCCAATCAAGTGAAGTTGACTCGCATATTACCATTCGAATAACTCTATTTTATATCATCTATTTAAAATTAGACCTAGTTGTTCACCGTTAAATTATTCTCAAAGAATTATCAACGACTTCATCATATCTTGGCTCATGGGTTTCGAGTGAATTAATATCTAGAGCTTTAAACGCGATCAGTCTAGTGTATTAACTTGTTCCGTGAGTTTTAGTCCAGGTTTCTAATTTTAGAAAGGCAAGCTTGATATACTACCTAAGTCTAAGCGCAGCCCGCATCTACCACATTCGGCGCAGTAAGTGTTTTACTATAAATAAATAGGCTTTATTATGTTTACTGTAATGTGATTGTGGCTGTAACTGGGGCTCTTAATCAAGTTCGGGTGTTAGGGTATTTTACTCTTGTCAGTTATGCAAGAATTGAATGTGATCGTTCACTGTACACTTCTGTCATGTTGTTGCCATTGTTCCGATTAAAGTCTGTTGTGGTTGAATTGGGACAAAAAAACTAATAGTTGATAGTGACGATATTTTTTATTACAAACAATACCTTGCAGACTTTCGTGTCTTGCTATTCGATAAGCAGTTGTTGCTTGATAACTGTGGTAACGAAGTTAGACCCTTGTGAAATCCTTGGTTTTCGTTATCTTATAAATTAATGGATAAGTTGCAGGAGCATACTCTTAGGTCCGTATGTAAACTACAGCAATGGCTTCAAGATGTTGATCGTAGAGCTCTCATATATGAAGTTTTTGAGCAGTAGATTTGTGGTGGTATTAGCCAATGTAAAACTGCAACTCTGGTTGGCTTCTTCGTTTTGTACGGATGGTAAATGTGTAAATCACTTTAAAAATCGTCTACATGTCTTTGATACTAAATGTTCTGTAGCTGTTCATTGTGTCAGCATATTTACGAATGCCGTGAACAGGTTTTTAATGAAAATTCAGCTGATCTTGTACTTCACTTTATTTCTGTAAATGTACTTTCTTATGTTAGGGGCCAATTTGGTTCAGTATGTTTATATTCTAACCTACGTATGGTAGAGGCTGTCTGGCTTATCAAACCGAAACAACAGGATATTTTCTGCATACATACTATACCTTCGAATGGCTTACAGTATCCTTAACATTTCTGTACATCTCCTTAAACGCCCACTTAAGTTTAGCCCTGACACAGATTTCAGGTGTAACACTCAGAAAATAGAGACAAAATACAGCAGAATGGACAGTAGACACAACTTCTACTCCATAAAAGTTGTCGAATGTTGGAATTCGCTGCCGGCCGATCTATTCCAAATGAATTCACAGGAGTCCTTTGGGAGAAAACTTGACATATACTTAAGGACTAAGGATAGTATCTTACCAGATTCATTTTCCTCTTTTATCGTTAATATACCTAGGTTCTTGCCTGGAGGTATTGGTGATTCACAGCTACTAGACACAGAAGCCCGTTAAGCGAAAGCTTCTCCCATTCCGTCCAAAACCATATGAAAACTTTATACACGACTGACAGTGTTTATATAATGACTTATATAATGTGCTAAGCTTGTTGGAAATAAAAATCGTTGTTGTCGTTACTATTGGGTAGTGTAGTTGTTATAACGATGTCCATCCTCGAGCTACAACTAATTTAATTATCACCGCCTTGGCAATATTATTTAAACTGGCAATCAACCAATTGGAAAATAGGAAAAATTGAGTGGGCCATCGTCACTCAGTCTGAGTGGAACAGGAATTTAATTAATTTAAAAGATCTGTCGTACCGTCACTCTTCATGTTTTATTAACTTTTTATTGGTCGGAGAAAATTTAAAGGCATTCGAATACAATGTTGTCAGTCTAAGCCTTATGTGTTAACGAAGATATATTGGAGTAAAATTATTGCTGATTGCTCCAAGCCTGTTTTAATTGACATTTTTCCGAATGTCGGGATATTGAATGTGCGTATTCTTGATCGTTTTCATTGGATCGATCGATTTAATTTATTCCAAGTAAACGGCATTTGTTTTGAATGTCACTTTCTGTTGGGAAGAAATCAGCCATATACTTCTGATTGTTTTCACATAATTGTGTTCCTACGGTTTCATTGTTCGTCTTTTGAGCGGGTCAGACCGATATAACCGACGGGTATAGAATGTTTCATGTTTACCGAGAAGACCTTTATTTTTTGAAAAGTAACTGGTCTACTTTAACCCTCTACCTGCTTTATATTTTGTATTTTCATTGTACAATGCCTTTGGAATGCAAAGTTTGTAATCTTTGATCACTGATTGTGAGAGGTCGACCTATATATATGAACAAATATACTATCCAGATACCCATGATATCTGTGTAAATTATATTTATTTCCATGTTGAACTAGTCTAATGGTTATTACAGCTGTTGTGTTTCGACTTGTTGTAAGGTTTTATGTGCATCTCATACTGGTAACACAAAATATATGTAGGACATGTCAGGATTTTAGTAATTCTGATTCTTAACGATAATGATGATCATGCAGACGAAGTCAGGGACAATATGATTATATTTGATCATGCAGACAAATTACTAGTTGGAAAACCAATAAGCATACGAACAATTGTTAGGATTCTA